TAACTGTTACTTGTCATGTTATTGCAGTAGTCTGCAGCACAGCATTCTCTCCCTCAGCCTCATTGTTTTGTTTTGATAGAATTCATGATTTTATATGTTTTCATGTTTCTTTGTCAATGTTTTCTCACTACAATACCGAGTATGCAGATACATAATACTACCTTTGGTAATCCGTCCAATGTTTAACAAATCCTAACTGTTAGCCTATCAATCAATACAACCAGGCTAACATTAGAGAACAAACCCAGTTCCAAAAAAAGTTGTGACTAGGTAGGTAAAATGAACATGAAATCAGAAAGCAGCAGTTTTTTACTGCCATTTTATCAAAAACAGGAAAAATATTTAACCCTTGTGTGGTGTTCAGGTCAGTGGGACCCATTTTCAATGTTTACCAAAAGAAAAAATGATGCGATTTATTATTATTTCAACCTCAGATTCTTGGCCTTTGCTCATTTTCTGTGAAGAACATATAAAATAACCCATTTTCAGTGTCTTCACTCTGTTCACCCCCACACATTTATATTACACATGTGGTGTTGGGTGAACCCGCGGGGAGTAAAAGTGTGGAGGTGCTGTGTCCTTCACTCTGTTCTCCTCCTACATGGCCTGCTGTTAGTGTGTGTGTGAGAGTGTGTGTGGGGGGGGAGTGGACAACATGGACAGGCTGCTGACTGGCTACAGCTGCTAAAGGAGAACCCTACACTGGACACTTGTGATATTTTAAACATCTGGTATTTTTAAATAAATTGCTTTGGCTGTATTGATTTCAGAAACCAATAATGTGGTGGGTCCACCAGACCACAAGTAACAAACAAGGGTTAAAGATTTTACTTTAACAACTCAATTTTCAAAAATGTAAGATAATTCCAAATTTAATGCCTACAACATCCCAAGAATTTTGGGACAGGGCAATGTAAGACTGGGAAGTTTGTGGAATGATCAAAAACACCCGTTTTGGAGCTTTCCCCAGGTAAACAGGTGAATAGCTAACAGGTCATGCTACCGACGTGCTTCTGTAATGAATATCACCACATGGGCTTGGAAATAGGGAATAGAAACTGACTGTTTTAGACATTAAATAAAAATGCTGAAAGGTAAATTCGCATTTTGGAGCAATGCTGATAGCAATGCTGCTATCGAGACAACGTCTGGTAGCTACCTTGCTAACTTTAGCCTTCATCTTGCTCTCCTCACCTGATCCTTGTCGTCCTCTTCCTCAAACTGCCTGCCCCTAAAGCATTTGTAGTTCTTCAAACGTTCCTTTAACCCTCAAGTTACATCATCAGAAGGGGGTTTTCTCTGTCTTTAAATCACTCTAGTTGCTCTAGCAACTACTGCTGCACTGCTGTTGGTGGAAGTGTCCCTTTTTTGGATACGCCTAACCTTGTGAGTTAGGCCTAATCCCATTTCACCCCTCACCCCTACCACTTAGCCCTTAGCCCTCTGTTGTTTTGTGTTCTCGTCTAGGGGTAGGGAGTCCCAATTTTTGTTGAGATAGAGGGGTGGGGTGAAGTGTTGGGGCTACATGGCCCTCCAAATGGAGGTTTTTCAAAAACACACTCCAAACGGAGAGTTATGAGAAAAAAAGGAACGGCAAGATGGCTGAACAAGAGACCAAAGAAACACACAAATGTGAGAATTTTCTGCGTAAAAAATACGATAACCATTGTTTTATCTTGGTTTAATGTCGTTTCAGTATATTATGGTCGTTTTCTTCATAACAAGCACAAAAAAAATCGCTAATAGCATGCTAATGTCTTGGTAGCTAGCTAGCTAACTTTCCCGTTCCACCTTAAATAGTCCAGCAGTTCTGATGCCTGAAGTGACAGAATGTAACTGCTGCACCATTTAAGGTGGAACAGGAAAATTCGAACAAGAAGCTGGTGAATATCTGACTTCAGCTTCATATCACTGAAGAATTAGGGGTGGGTGATAATAAATAATTGCCCCCCTCTTTGAAGTCATATGATGCCCTAAATGTAACTAAAGCCCAGCAGTGAGGAGCTGAACTTTACCCTCCTCTGCTGTCACTGCAGACTGGCAGGGTCGCCTACAGAGCAGTGCTGGTAGCTGTTAATGAAGTAATGCTCTTTTTATTTGAGGGTCCCATTTCAGAGGGGAAGATTTCAACCACTACCCCTTGTAACTCAGTTCATATATGATTGTTTTAGACATTAAATAAAAAGACTCAGGAAATGAGAATATGCTGTTTAATATGTTGGGAGTGATGTGAAAGACTGACCTCTAGTAATAGTACCGATACCTCGACTCAAGCACCAATTGCTGAGCGACACCATTTCCAGTATTTTTTTTTTTAATACTAAAACAATTACTGACTTAAGTCAGATATTACAATGGATTACAGAGCAATCAAAGGAGCGCTATCTATTGTCATTAGACAGATAATCACCAGCTCTATTGCGAATATTCTTTATTGAACATATTGACCGCATAACTTAGCTTACATACCAATTCTTTATTATATAAGTTATATATCAGACTGCCACAAAGAAAAGAGTTGAAAATTGTTAAGACACTTGCATAAATAATTACCTCATCTATTAATATTGTTTGTATTTATTATAATATTAATGTTTTTCTGAGGAAATAAATGCTGATTGCCCTGATAAATTTCCCAGAGTGCTGAAAACATTTGCACAGTACTGTATATATTACTTTTGATAGTAATAACAAAATTATCCCCCATTTTTAACACCCTTCAAGGTATGGTTGGTCACGTTTGGCCATAACATTCAGCTTGGATTACAAACAAAATTTTGTGAGCACGAGTGCTCGTGCATGTGCTTGTGCATGTGCACTGTTATTTCCAGTAATTAGTAACCAGCTTATGTCAAGACTCTCTTCTGTACTTTGTACACGTGATGAGGGGAAGAGATTGTCAAAGGTGCACTGCAGTAACTGCATAAAACCCAATGGCACTTTGATAGGATTGCACATGTCACGTTTATCTAAAACATGCAAATTTATCATTAAGTGAAGCTGGTGCAAAGGCTAACATCAGAGGTCCAAACTGATCTACTTAAAGCGAGACGTGGCTTTAAACTGTTTGAGCAAAAGGATCATTTTTAATGCTTAAAATCTTGAAATGAATGAAAAACCTTGGAACATTAAGGATTTCTGCAACATTGTCCTGTGTTGGTCATTTAGTTTTACTGGCTTTGCATTTATGGACAGCTCTGCCAAATTAGTTCAAACTGTAATCCTACGGTAAAAAAAACAAACAAACATAAAAAAACCTATTTAGACAAACAATTAAGTCTTCAGAGCTTAGATATTTATAATAATTATATCACAATCTATTAAAACCCAAGGTATTAATGAATATATTAATGAGCTATATATATATATATAAAATCATCATTTATAGGGTATTATAAATTATAGGGTACTATTGGGAGGTGGCTGTCCCAAATCCTAACCCCTAAATTTCATCATATCATTTTTTCTGTCATTTTGTTGTTTTTTTTTTTATCTTTTTGATTTCTTTTAAAATTGAAAGATTTAGATTTATCATTAATTTAAAAATAAAACAAATAAATAAAAACAAATCTGTCACTCATTTTTATGTCACTACCAAAATACAAAGGCTATGTTTAAACTGTACCATAATCCACTGAAATGATATGTTCTAAGCTGTACTGACTCCACACACCCCGTCTCGTCTCCAGGCTTTTATTTTACTGTTCTGTTTTTAAAACATTCGGTTATGAAAAGGTACAAATACGAACTTTTCACCTGGAAAAACTTATTTAAGGTCCACAGTTGGATCTTGAAACCACTGTTGTACCTTTGAGGGAACATTTACATTGTTTGAACCTTGATGAACGAAAAATGTACCTACACAGAACCTTTATTTCTAACAGTGTACGACAAAAGCCATTTGCCGTACCACAAGAAAGGGGCATGACTGGCCGGCCAACATCAGAAACCGAACTAATCAAACTCATCTCAAGACCCTATCACTATTTCTAGCTGCTTTTTTGTGTGTACATTTATTTTGGTCAAGAGATGGGTCTGCATAGCTGTTAAAAGACACCCAATACAATGACAGAGGGCAGGATCCTGTCTTCTATCCATCTCCAAAGCCAAACTTTAAAAAACATGAGCTTTGGAATCTGTGTGGTCACTTCTCGTCACTTTCACATTCCAGGATGGTGATATGAAGTAGTTTGAGTGAAAAATAAACAGTGTAACTGCACACATGAGCCTGAAAAAAGCCAGTGCTGTACAGATTGGTCAGCTGAGACCAGCTGTTTTAATCATATTATCTACATAGTAAGTTAACTTTATTAAATAGATTAAGTAAACAAACCCAAAAGATAAATATAAATGTCAGGAAAAAATTGGTAGTTTTCTGCCAGTTTAAGTGGGATCAGGAGGTCAGGGGAAACTGCATAAGGATCACAGCCTATTTTATTGACTTTGTTGAGGTCACGTTTTTCTCTTCCACAGTAAGGAGAGTAATTTTAGCCATTTTTCATGTCTGTTTCCGAAATTCGGTCCCAAATATGGCGACCACAACAGAAAAATAGGATACACTACATACTGAAGCAGTATATAATGCACAGTATGCCATTTCGATCACAGCCAAAGAGTTTTAGTCTATATGCAAAGCCTTATGTTAGCCACACCACTGCATTTTAGAGCAGTGAGACAGACTGCATCCCTGTCCCTCATGGCCACATGGTGAGCAGTTAGATCACTGTTTTGAAGTAAATGTATCTGAAAGTCTGTGTAATAATCAGAACTTTCACTAGCGAAACACATTTTCTACAATTTCATTCTAAACCTATTTGCATTTTAATGTACAATATTATCATTTTTGATGTTTGTGAACTTATCTTGAATTGCATACTACAGCAGTTTTGCTTGTAGATTCCTGAAACTTGTAATTAAAGTCCATTAATATTCAACTTGAAAACATAAAAAACATGCTTATGTGAGTGTCACTGCATTTCAAAGGCAATAAAATGTGTCGAGGAGGAAGTAATGTACAGCATATAAGTGGGTGTGATCAGGGATATGAGTGAAGTGGTAGCGGCTGCAGTAAGACAAGAGTAGTAGGCATTATCAGAGATAAAGGAGGTGCAGTGGTGAGTTTTCTTTTACATTTATAAGAATGTTATAGTTAAATGATAAACTGTGAACATTTGTGGAAAAATTACCCAGTTTAAAGGTTTTTCAGTAAATACATTATTAGAATTAGTTCTGTAGTTATTAGTATTGGTATTGTATCAACTTGATTTCAAAACATTCAAACATACAGTTTTTACTCCTAAATAACTTTTAGTCTGAATTTACTTTGTATACTAACTCCATTCAATGTTTCATCAGTAAAAAGTATTGAATTTTCTTCTTTCAAAGAATTTTATGCATAACACAGTTTTGTTTTTCAATTTACTTACCTTTGACAATATTTGTGTTATTTCATAATCTGTTTTATTCATGTGGACATGATGTACACATTTGAATCAAGTAAATAAAGTGCACTACTTCAATTTCAACTATTTTTTTCTTTTTTTATGACAGATTTTCCTGGACCTGAATGACCAAGAAATAAAAATGCCACAGAAATCGTTAGTCCAGAAGCTCTGGCACGTTTGTGCCCTAGTGTTTGTCCTTTCTGAAGGTTCTTTAAGCTGCAGAACCGGCAGCCAGCAGGAGTGTCTGGCTGCTCCTTTTGTCCCCGGTCACAACTTAGTTGGTGAGGGCTTTGATGTGGTAACGCTTCAGCGTAAAGGAGCTTATGTCAGCGACATGCAGACCTTTCTGACACCTTCTAACTCCTGCACGTTGTGTCAGAACCCTTTCATGAGCGGCGAGCTGCAGAAAGTTCCTCTTTCTGTGCTGGACTGGCGAGCCATCAACAGATGCAGCCTTCAGATCTCCAGTGCTGTCTTCTCCTCCGTCAGTGCTCTGCTGGAGAGCTCCACCTCGGTCATTGGGAATGACTGGAAGGTGGGCTTGAATCTGGCAGGACTGAGCAACCTGCAACTAGGAGGCAGCAAGTCCACCGAGTCAAGATTCGCAACCTCCAGAATCAAAGTGGACAAGACGTACTTCTCCTCCCACCAACTGAGCTGCACTTACTACAGGTTGGGTTTCATGGCCTTGATTTTTTTAAAGCTCAAACTCTAAACATCCCTAACTTAACCTGAAAAAGAATATTTTCCCTTACTCTAATATTTTTAACTCTAATTCTGGGTTTTTCTTGATCACTTGTTGTTTACGTAATTGATCCGAGCATCTGCAGACCAGGAGGATATCGCTGCTGTATGGACAAAACCTTGCATCTCCATTTTTATCATTTTTCATTTTTTAACATATTTTGAAAAAGGCAGTTGCCCTTTATGTTGTGTCAAAAATTCACGATGAATGGACCAACAGAAATGGTCCAAAATTACTTGAGGAAAATATTTCTCCTTTTACTTCCATTAAAAGTTAAAAACATTTACCCTTGTCCTGTAAAGTCACCTCTTTGGAGATACAAGGTTTTGTTCACACAGCAGCGATATACAGATAAATATTATAGACGTATATAATAGACATATACACCGATCAGGCATAACATTCTGACCACCTCCTTGTTTCTACACTCATTGTCCATTTTATCAGCTCCACTTACTATATAGGTGCACTTTGTAGTTCTACAGTTACAGACTGTAGTCCATCTGTTTCTCTGCATACTTTGTTAGCCCCCTTTTGCCCTTTTCTTCAGTGGTCAGGACCCCCATAGACCCTCACAGAGCAGGTACTATTTGGGTGGTGGATCATTCTCAGCACTGCAGTGACACTGACGTGGTGGTGGTGTGTTAGTGTGTGTTGCGCTGGTGCGAGTGGATCAGACACAGCAGTGCTGCTGGAGTTTTTAAACACTTTGTCCACTCACTGTCCACTCTATTAGACACTCCTACCTTGTCAGTCCACCTTGTAGATGGAAAGTCAGAGATGATAGCTCATCTGCTGCTGCACAGTTTGTGTTGATCATCCTCTAGTCCTTCATCAGTGGTCGCAGGACGCTGCCCACAGGACTCTGTTGGCTGGATATTTTTGGTTGGTGGACTATTCTCAGTCCAGCAGCGACACTGAGGTGTTTAAAAACTCCAGCAGCACTGCTGTGTCTGATCCACTCGCACCAGCGCAACACACACTAACACACCACCACCACGTCAGTGTTACTGCAGTGCTGAGAATGATCCACCACCCAAATAGTACCTGCTCTGTGAGGGTCCATGGGGGTCCTGACCACTGAAGAACGGGGTAAAAAGGTATGCAGAGAAACAGATGGACTACAGTCTGTAACTGTAGAACTACAAAGTGCACCTATATAGTAAGTGGAGCTGATAAAATGGACAATGAGCGTAGAAACAAGGAGGTGGTCAGAATGTTATGCGTGATCGGTGTATAAACTGATATAGACATAATCTATTAAATCAGCAAGACATCAGTGAAACGGCCAGGTTTATAAATACTTCTTTATTTCTTTTTTTCAGTTTTCGACTTCCAAGCCTTCCTCCTCTCAGTCCAGAGTTCCACCAGCATCTTCTGTCTTTACCCAAAGGCAACACGTCAAATGCCATGCAACAATATCGCCGCTTAATCGAGATTTATGGGACCCACTATATCCGCCAAGTCAACCTTGGTGGGAAGTTTAAAAGAGTGACCTCCATTCGCACGTGCTTGGCAACCCTCAACAGGGTCTCTGCTAGTCAGGTGAAGGACTGTCTGAACGTCGGTCTAAAGGCGGGGCTTGGGCTAGCTGACGCCTCCATTGCAGGAGGAAGCTGTAGAAACATCCTGACAAACCAAGATAGTGTTATGAGTTTTAGTGAAGGTCTTATGAACTACATGACCCAGATTTCTGGAGGGAATGGATGGCTTGGAGAGATTTCACTGACCAGAAACGACTCTGAAGGCTTCTACACTTGGCTTGGTAGCCTCAAACACACCCCAGACATCATAACCTATTCTGTCTTCCCTTTGCATGATCTGGTCAATGACACAGACGTGAGAAGAAACCTCCAAATGGCCATCACCCAGTACATTACAGAAAATGGGCAACCAAAGAATCCGTCGCCTCCACAGTGTGCAGGGAATCAACCCAACCTTTCTCCAAACTGCTGTCCTTTCAATGGCCACAGAGGAAGGCTAAGGGTGACCGTGATAAGGGCTTGGGGTCTAAAAGGCGATCCAGTGGGCAAAACCGAGGGGTACGTCAAACTTTGGTACGATGGAAGCTTCAGGCAAACCCAATGGATCAGATCAAATAACCCATGGTGGAACAAACAGTACGACTTCGGAAATGTTTACACCGGTCATCGCCTTAAAATGGAGGTATGGGATAAAGATGTCCGCTATGATGACCACCTGGGGGGCTGTTCTGTGAATCTGAGAAGAGGACTGTATCGGCAGAGCTGTGGACTGAATCACGGAGGCTTTGAGTTTTCCTTCCACCTTGAGTGTGACCCACACTTGACTGGGTCTCTCTGTAATATCTATTGGCCTTATCCGTAGTAATAGAGCATCCAAAAAAAGAAACGAAAATGGTTGAGAAGGACAAAAAAAGTATGGTAGATCTGTCCAAAGGAACCACATATTCAAGAGGGAATCATCAGGAGAGCCACATGTCCAGCAAATTATCAAGGGTCTACCTGTTTAGGAAATCGGCTCATTTCTCTTCCCCCAACATACGACTAAAATGCAGACAATATAAAGTGATGCATGCAACCTTCCTATCTTATCGCCTTATAGCCTTATATACCCAGCATGGACTTTGTAAGCAGTGCACTCACTTTTTTCCCGCTTCAAAGTATCTTGTCTATATTTTATCTTGACTACGTTGGCTCATAAGGGGTTAAATAATTAACAGTTTGTAGTTCATACATTGTGTAATTGTGCCTATAACTGTATGTCTCATTGAAATAAGACTTGTAAATCTTGTGAGTTGATGTAAATGTTTTTTTCCTGTATAAATAAACAGGTACGCATTTGTATTTCTAATGAGTTATTCACTTGCATATTGTATTCGCAACTGAACAAAGCAATTTATTAACATGCTATAACAGACACATGAATGATATGATACATGAAATGATACATTACATTCTTTTTTGATTTATTCGTCAAATCACATCCACAATCACCCTGCAATGAGCATGTAATTAGACATGAACATTAACTGAACTGAAACAGCCATTAGGAATCTTTGATGTCAACCACATCTGACTGCTAGCCTGGCCAGTTATCTACAGGTTAATAAGCCCAGCTAATAAAGCATTAGTGTAACTTTTACCTTAGGGATACAAAAAAATTGTTAAGAAAACGACGATTCTGTCTTTATTCAGCACAAAATGGCTAAAAGAGATGAGTTCTTCACCCATTCAGACAAAAAAGAAGAAACAAGAAGGAAGGTATCTAGAAAGCCAGGTAACTTTTAGCTTATTATCCTCCTCAAATGAGTCATTGTTGCCGTTTAAGTAATCCATTCTGTCCATACAGTAACCTGCAGTAACATTAGCTGCTTCTGCATTAGGTATTTAGTTAGTTAGTTAGTTAGTAAGGAAGGAAGGAAGGAAGGAAGGAAAAATAGCCCACCCATAGGAATCCCCCCCAAGTAATTTCCAAAAGTTCTTCCTGCCTTACAGTGACATAATCAGAAGGGGGTTTCCTAGTCTTTACACTTGGAAATCTCACTTAAGTGTCCACCTGGGCACGACTGTAGGATGTGAGTAAGCATGTTTACGACTGACGTTAGAGATGGTTTTCCATTTTGTCCGTCCCTTTAATTAAGAACACGTGAACCCGCATTAAGGTGCACATGATTTAAAATATTTGGTGGTTAAAGATGCATCATTAGCTTATTAGCTAAACAAACTGTTTGGAAAAAGTAGTTACCATTATTTCTACCAGTATACCACCAGTAGCTTCATATGTGTATGTAGTTAATGTTAGAGTTGGCTAATGTCAGCTAGTCATATCAATCAATCAGCCTTTATTTAACCTCAGAGAACATTGAGGGTGACCCGAGTCAATGCATTAAAAAGGGACTGATAATGTGTAAGAACATATCAAATAATAAAAGTCAATTTAATAATAAAAATGACAGAAAAAATAATAATAAAAAAATTAATATCATCATCATCATCATCATCATCATCATCGTCATAATAAGGGTGGAGCTGAAGCTGCTGTGAGCCAATCACAGAAAGAAGAGTCCATGCTTTGTCTCATTAAATAGCCTCTTTTTGAACTGATCAAATGGGAACCATAACTATTAAGATATTTTCAACATGGTGTTTATGTCCTATACTATTGAAATATGTGGTATAAACCGAACAAAATACTTAATTTATTGTCAAAATAGACAAAATAGTAGGTTGCCATTTACTTTGCAATTCAAATGGTTGCTCTTCCTCTTGTCCATTGCGTGTTGAACAGCAAACGATCTAATTTTACTTAAATATATCATGTAGCCTTTGAAACCTCGGCAAGAATTTGACGTTTCCCAAAAGAAAAAAAAACGTATTTATTTTCCATAGAACTGGGTCCAGATTTTTGTACATATACGCTAATTCCAAACTTGATGCCTGCACTGGAGCAGTGTAAGACTGGGAAGTTTGTGGAATGATCCAAAACACTTGTTTTTTACCTTTTCACAGATAAACAGGTGAATAGGTAGCAGGTGATGCTATCATGATTGCATATAAAAGAAACATTCATAAAAAGGTCTTTCGCCACTTCGCGAAAAACTGCATGGGCCACGAATCCAGCAGTTTAAGAACAATGCAATGCATGATTACAACTGAGGGATTTCACCACGTACATTCTCAAACGATTCAGAGAATCTTGAGAAACCCCAAAAATAAAATTATCAGCATTGAAAATAAGCATAACAGGTCTTCTTTAATTGCTAGCCTTCATAACTTCAGAACAGTTAAAGGTACAAACATGATCCATGCATCAGGACATTCAGCAGACCCAACCCCTAACTAGAAAACATGACATCATCAAGCTGTGACGTCAGCACCAGTGAGTAATTCGGATGATATTATTGCTCTGTTTTTTAGCCTTCATATTCCAGCAAAAAAGGCGAAAAAAGGTGATAAAACTGCCTTTCACTGCACTGAGTGCACTTTCCCTCAAAATCACACAAACAGGCCCTAAAACACATTTTTAAAAGACAAATAACAATGAATATGACAAATATTATAAAATTAATCATATCTAGCTCTGTCTGTCAGTTTACATTGATTTTGAGTATTAAAAATATCTGATATTAAATATGCAACTCAATACGTAATTAAAACTAATGACTGCCTTTCTGGGTATTGGAGTTTCAGCACTCAGCATGAATCCAAGAGGACAGAAAATCAATAAACACACAACAACAACAACAACAACAACAACAACAACAACACGTCCACCTTATGCTAATTGTTTATTTTTACTCATAATAACCATTTTTGGTTATTGTTACATAATAACAGAATGAATCACCTTCAAAATGATTGCACTTTCAGCTCACAGACACTCCAGACTAACAATTTCTGAAAAGGTATCTGAGGTGCAACTTATTTTCAAGATCTCTATAAATAAAAAACTACAAAATTTAGCAGGTGCTGGGTACATTTTTGATCAGAAATGACCCAAATTCATAAAGATATCAGATTTCTGTCAGCATTTACATGTCAAACAATGGCATATCTGAGCAGCCCAGGGCCTTCTGAAAATAACAACATATGGCATGTGTGACTGTCTCATGTAAATACTTTAGAATTGCAATTGTAATTGACCCAAAGTTCTAGGGTTCTAAAGGTTTTAAGGAAAGGTGAAGCAACACAGTGGTAAACATCCCTGTCCCAACTTTTTTGGAACTCCCTGCAGGCATTTGAGTTAAAATATGTGTACAGATAAAATCAATAAAGTTAATTAGTTAAAGTACAAAATATATTTTCTTTGTACTGTTTTCTATTGACTACAGGTTAAAAAGGATTTGAAAATCTGTTTTTATTTACATTTACATTTTTCCTACTGTACTGAACCTACTCTGGAATCTGATTTGTATAATTAGATGCAAATGAATTACACTGCATTTACTGAATTTCTTACACTGTGTTGAGAGAGCTACAAAACAAACTCAACAGTTAAACTGGTGTTGTTAGTCAGCATGACAGGAACAGAAGTTTAGACGTTTCATCTGTATCCAGAGTCTCCCGCACTGCTGCATGTGTGAATGAATGTTACTGTATTGCTGTTTACAAGGAAGTTGTGTACAGTGCCAAGTCGAAATGACATTTTTATGAAAAGGCAGTAACAGTTTTCTGTTACGTAACGTTGGAGACAAACTGGTCTCACGTTTTGTTCATATGCTGAGGATAGAATAACAAAAGGTTCACAAATACACGTGTAAACAATACACCTGGCTCAGTGGTCTGCACTTTTCCAACAGACAGTCTTAAAAATCTATTATTCATTTGATCTAATTTTATATTGTGAGTGTTTTTTAGAGTAATCTTTAAATGCTGTATGGGACTACATTGCTAATATCTGTATTGAAAGATTCGATATCAAGAAAAAGTTATGGGACAAAACAAAATATCTCCACTGTGGCTGGACTGAGGGCATCACTTGCACTATCAGCACCCCTGCAGACACTGTCACTGTGTTATTTTCATTTCATGTTTATATATGTATGAAAATCTGCTTGCATATAGTAGATACATCAGTGTTAATGATATATATAAATATATATATATATATAAATATATATATATATATATATATATATATATATATATATATATATATATATATATATATATATATTATGGCAAGCCAAACAGGAAATATTTAATGAACATTGATATATATGGAATGAACATTGATATATATACAATGAACTTTAATATATATATAATGAACTTTGATATATATACAATGAACATTGATATATATGGAATGAACTTTGATATATATGGAATGAACATTGATATATATACAATGAACATTGATATATATACAATGAACTTTAATATATATATATAATGAACTTTGATATATATACAATGAACATTGATATATATGGAATGAACTTTGATATATATGGAATGAACATTGATATATATGGAATGAACATTGATATATATACAATGAACTTTGATATATATGGAATGAACATTGATATATATGGAATGAACTTTGATATATATACAATGAACTTTGATATATATGGAATGAACATTGATATATATACAATGAACATTGATATATATGGAATGAACTTTGATATATATACAATGAACTTTAATATATATATATATATAATGAACTTTGATATATATACAATGAACATTGATATATATGGAATGAACTTTGATATATATGGAATGAACATTGATATATATACAATGAACTTTGATATATATGGAATGAACATTGATATATATTGAATGAACATTGATATATATATGGAATGAACATTGATATATATACAATGAACTTTGATATATATACAATGAACTTTGACATATA